AAGTCAGGAATTCCAGGCCTAGTATTTTCAAACTGAAGGCTGCTGAGATCCATGAAACCCTACGTTGGTCCTGGGCGCCACTGGACAACTCTCCCGTTGCCAGATGGCGGCCTTTCCACTGCGTTGGATGGGTGCGCGGGTCGCGTTTTGTTCCCGGGCAAGCTGGGGGGGAGCGTGTGCGCACCTTGCGCCGGGCACTGCAAGGCCTCTCCAGCTCCCGGAGGTGCGCACTCTCTGGGCGGCCGCCCTTTGAAGGCAGCTCTAACCCTGCCGGCCGCCAGGCGCCCGGGGCTTGGCCCTAATCCGGATTTGGAGGCCGAAGCAGTAAGCCGGCCGCCACCGACTGCGAAGAAATCAAAGCGGCAGCCATCCTGGTAGCTCCTGGTCTTGTTTACTTGTTGACGCGCGCTCACCCAAGCAAGACGACCTCGAGTTTGATATCCGCCTAGAGAGAAGAGGGGTAGGGGTCCGGGAGCAGTCAGCCTCCACCGCTCTGGAGGCCAAGGTTTCCAATTGCGGCAGACAAGTTTCCTTCCCTTCTAAGGTCAGAGGTCGAGCCTGGGAGAGGCCCGCTCCCCTTTCCCTCCAGGCCCACCCGGCGCGATGTCCTGGAGCCCCGTTTCCAGCCGCGCCTTCTTCTCCCCTCCTAGCTCGCTATCCATTAGTATAATCCTCTGTCCAAACACTGCGGCCAGGACGGCCAGACGCTTGGTGTAAACAGACCCGGGGGAACAATTCTAACGATATAAATAAAATAACCATTAATAGTGCAAATTGTTCGATGAACTGGAGGCCGAGCACCCGGGACTCCAGCCTCGCTGGGGTTTGTGTACACAGTGTGGAGGCCACGCATCCGTCAGGTAAATCTGAGGTTCTTGTCCCTGCCGAAATCTAAACCAGGCGCAGGTGAGGTCCCCTTAAGCGCGTCAACGGGAACCTGGCTCCTAGCACTCCCAGGCCGTGACACGCACGCGGCTCAGGACAGACGCACATAGCGAGGTCGCCGGGCGGCCGCAGCTCACATTAACGTAACCGCCGGGACCCGCCCCAAACAGAGTAACTGAGGAGACCTGGCTCTTCAAAAACTCTTCCTCTCTCCCCGTGGCCAGCCGCGGCCTCAAAGAGCGCCACCTGGTCACATCGGCAGCCTCCGTGCGAGCAGGGACACAGAGCTCATACCCCAAAAGGAAAAAAAATCAGCCTCCACTTGTCCTGGGCTTCGTAATAATAAACTAACATTTATTGGGCGTTTCTTGTGCCAGGCACCACGCTAAGTGCTTCACAGAGGTAATTTCCTTGAATCCTCAGGCGACCTAAGAGGTAGATACTTCTAGTATTCCCAGTTCCACAAATCAGAAAAGCAAAAACCTCTGAGAGGTTACAGAATTTGTCTGGAGACCCATGGAGACAGAATCTGAATCCACAACTCTGCTCCAGCAAGCGCACGGTGCCTCCCCGAGATGCAGCCACTTGCGCAGATTCCGGGGCGCCTGGCTGCCAAGGCCTGAAGCCTAGCTCCAGCGCATTCCCGGCCCCGCCGGGCTGCAGGGGGGGTTGCTTTCCAGTGGGAAGTTCCTACTTCTCCCCAGAGCGTCGGCAGAGTGGTCTGAGAGGCTGGGACAGAGGCAGGAGGGGAGCCTCTTCGGAAAGCCCTGTGACCTATTCCCAGGGACCCAACAGTGGGCTCCCAGCGGGCTCTGCTCTGGTGTCGGGGTTGCAGATGCCGCCCAGGAGGAGGCGAGCGAGGCCTCCGGGACAATAGGTCAACCCTGCGGGGGTCGCAGGGGGAGGCGGGGGCACTTGGAAAAACGCCTCCCTGGGGCCGGATGGCCGTGGAGTCGTAGTTCCCGGAGTCTGACTGGGGCAGGACGTTGTCTCCAGCCCACCCAGGCGTGGAGCAGAGGCGTCCTGCACCCACTTCTTACTTGCTTCGAGACCTTGGACAAATAATTTTATTTCTGGGGCCTCAATGTCCAAGGCTCTTACATGGGGCAGGAGGGGCGGTGATACTTGTCTCCTAGGGATATAGCGATCGGAAGAGACCTTTGTGTGAAACGCTTTGTTTACCGGTGGAAAGTTTATTATCATGATTAGTGTTAACTTGACAGTAGGCACCTCGGAAGGCGGGGACGAGGGCTTGCAGCCCCATACTGAATAGAAAGCGAAGGACGGAGGTGGGGAGAAAGGAAACTGCTCACGTAGGAGGGAAGGGGAGGGGGCTAGAGGAAGCTCCGCCCCACCATCCGGCCGTGTTTATTTTCAAGGCAGCTTCCAGTCAATCCTGTCACCGGGGCACATTCTTTTCGGGGGCTGTGAACCACCGTCAGGGCTCCGCAGGAAGATTTGAGGAGGGGGAGGGCTGTTGAGTAGGGAGCAGGAATTCGCAGAGTAGAGAGAACTGCGCCTGGGCAGGCAGTCCCAGCGCTGCGCAGGGGAAGCAGAAGGGGGAAGAGAGGAAGCTGAGTGTTCAAGGCAAGGAATTTTAACAACCTTGGGCAATTTACCTCACCCTTCTGAGCCTCAGTTCCCTCCTCTGAAATGGTTATATTAATAGGGCCAAAGACAAGAGCTGCTGCAAGAAGCAGAAGCAGTAACAATGGCGGACACTTAGCAAGAGTTTACAGCAGTCTGGCGATGTTCTGGGATCTTCATACCCAATGAGACAGCGAACTCTCCCAGCACAGTAGAAGTCTCTTGACCATGGTCTGCCAGTTTATGTGGGAGCTGGGTGGGGAGGGGAGGCTCTTTACCTCTGAGCCCATTGGTGCTTGTAGAGAAGCCATGAACAGTAGCTGGTACTGTCCATATGGTCATTGGTGATGGGATTGCTAATGTTATGGTTGTCAGCTGTATTATTTCTACTGTTACAGCCGCTCACTACCAACCCTAAAAGGTAGTCACCATTAACTCCTTTATGGAAAGGAAACAGGCTCAGAGAGGGTAAGTGACTTGCCTAAAATCACACAGCAGGTGTGGGGCCAAGCGGAGAGATAAGAAACCAGGCAAATCCAATGGCCAGATGCTCTCACCCACCGCAGAGGGAAAAGGAGAGAGGGCACAGTTTAGTGCAGGACGAGGCCTGGGTGAGAGAGGGACACCTACCGCCAGGGCAGGTCCCCAGCAGCTGATTTATTTGCATTCCAGCAGGGACGCTAATTGGTCAGATCTTTATCTCAACACGATAACAATGACATGGGACCTCAGGGATTTGTTTACAGCAGCTAAAAATGATGCATTTGTGGGAATGGGAAGCTGGGTTGGAGTGCGGGTTTTGTTTGCGGCTGCTTTAGCTTCAGAGGGTGGGGAGTGTCTACTGGGGGAGTGGGGAGGCTGAGAGGAGGCTGCTGGTCATTCTGAGAATATTTCCTAAAACTAATGATTAAGAGAATTAGTCTCCTTGTTTGAAGACCCCAAAAAACACAAAATGTGATGGACAATTAAATAATGCTTCTGTAAGTGGGAAAAGAGAGCGCCTGGGAACCCCACTCTCCGCAGATCTCTGCTCAGCCCCAGCCGCCACCGCAAGAACCGTTTCTCCTCGCATAGGTGCGGAACTCTTTGTAAGTGCTTTTCTTAATCCTAAAGGCAGGCTTATAAAGTCCACACCGTTATTATCTTCTTTTGTAAGTGAGAAAACTGCCATTTAACGAGGTTGAAGGACTGGCTCAAAGTCACAAGACTACAAAAACAGCAGGACTCCACATCTAGATCTGGTGGACTACAGGGCCAGTGCTCCAGCCCAAGACAGAGGCATGAGGTATGATTATGACTTAGAGAAAGCAACATCTCCCTGGGCCCCATCCCAAACCCAACCTCCTCACCTATGGAGTCTCCTTGCAGAGGAGGGTGTCACCAGGGCAACCCTTGCACATGAATGCTCAGGAGACCTGTCTACAGCCACTCACATGCATGCTTACTGACTTACCAGTTGTGGGAGGTATAAGATATTCACATCTGCCTGTGTACATGCTCCCTCATGTGGGGGCACAATACATACATATATATACACACGGGCCACCCTTCTACTATACTAATGTGGAGGGCATGACACATGGAGTTTTTAAAAGTCTAAATTTCAGAATATTTCAATGTAGTTTTATTACTTTCAACAACACACAGAGTCATTACAACTCTGGTAATAACATCTATTCCCTCTTCTCTGACTACAGCTTAGACAGGCCCTTATGGAACCACTTTGTACAAGACTAATTGTAATGATCCCATAAATTGCCTTATAGAAATAGTGCATCTGATAGTCATGGAACTTAATTTTCATCTTGGATCATATAAACATTTCTCTCCAAATCTCATGTCACTACCAGTAATTCACATTATTGTTGGGGGAGAGGGGAAAGGAGGGAGAGAATTTAGAATGAGCGTTGGCCAGCCCTGTGTTAATGACCACATGATCTGAAACAGCAGAGCCCTAATGTGGAGTCTACATTTATGGGCAGTCCTGAGTGCCTTCTTCCCCATGCCCATCCACATGTGCACTCACTAATGTGTTCACACAGGAAAGCACTTTCCTCTTCATTCAAGGAGAAAGGCAAGTCTGTAGAAATATCTGTATCATGTCTCTATCCACCTACTGGAAGGAAACCTATATTTCTCAGGAGATGAAACTGCCACCAATCTCAAAACTATGGTTGCAGCTGGAAGGTAAAGGGTAGAGGGTGGCTGGCTGGTTGCCTGCCACGCATCTGGGGAGCCCAGCTCCCAGGGGAGAATGCATGAGACTTAGTCTCCTCTCAGGAGGCCAGTGACTCAGTGCCCCCCACTGGCCCCAGTTAGGGAAAAGGTAGGAGATTATTGGTGGACCCAGAGCAGCTAGAGTGCTCAGTCCTTGGCTGGTGTGAGAAGCCAGGGACCCCACTCTTTTCTCTTAGATTTGGCCCCTGCATTTTAAGGCGATCTCTGAGACACCTTCCAGTTGGGGTGATCTCAAGACAATACAACCCCCAGTCTAAAGTGGGGCTGTTGGGAAAGAAAGGAAGGTCAGTTTGCTCTCACTTGTGTGTGGTGCAGTAGGGGCAGGCATTCCTGGTCTGGGAGCCCCCATCTACTCTCAGCTATGCCTGGGGCCCAGGCCTCATGGTCACCTCCAGCTCTGCTCTGGTTCTCTTCAGACTGCCACAATAGAAGGAAATGGAGGCTCCTCAGGATCTGCCTGGAGTGGGGATTTCCATGGGCAGGGCAGCCAAGCCTGCCACCTGGAGCCCCACAGACCAGCAAGGGCCCGCTGCTGAGGCTACCGGGGAGTGGGGGCTTGGGAGGTGGGAGAGGTCTTACCAGTTGGAGCAGGGCACAGAGTAGCTTCCCTTTCACAAGCAAAGGGGTGCACGGGCATTCTCCTGAGCAGCCCTGAGGGTCAGAAGCAGAGGGGTGGGATGGGGGAAGGAATGTGGGGCTCAGGAGTGAGGTCTTGCTCAGTTAGTCTCACCCCACCTCGCCGAAGCCCTCCTGTGCTGCCCTGATTCCCTTCACATCAAACATCTGCAGGGGCCACGATCAAAAAACCTGAGAGCATCAGAGTGGAGGGGGTAAGAAGGTAGGGAAAAGGGGGGAATTAAACAAGATGAGGGGAAGAGTGAGAAAATAGGTAGGAGGGAAACAGGTGGGGAGGAGTGGAAACAGTGAGAAAGGAAACTGAGGAGATGGGGGAGGAGGTGAGGAAGAAAGGAAGTGGGGGAAGGGCATAAAGGAAAAGGGGTGGGAGAGTAAAATGGGCTCCGTCAAAGACCAAGGGGCTACGAGGGGTAAAAGACTAGCAGTGAGGGAGAGGAGGACTGCAGGCGGAAGAGCGCGCGAGTTTTAGGATCCCCGACTCAGAGGCTCTGCCCGGCCTCTGGATGTGGCGAACCTCAAGAGGTAAGAAGGTCTTTGCCTCTGGTTGACAGGAGCGCGGAGAGGTGGAGGGGAGTTCGAGAACCTAGAGGCAGGTTCAAGGACAAAGGTGCACCTTGTGCAGGCCGACCAAGTCACTCTAGCCCTCTTCGCTAGGGCCCCGGGCCCTTGGCAGGCGGATGGAGAAAGATGCCCTAGGAAAAAGCCCAGCACTGCTAGGCCCTAAGTGCACTGGCTTGGAGACGCGGCGCCAGTGGCTGGCAGGGCACAATGAGGCCCGGAGCCCTTACAGTCGTTGCAACCTGGAGCTACCGAACTGGAGACCTCCGACCTGACACGCCTGCGAGGCTGCGAGGTCCAGAGGCTGGACCTGGTTCCTAGGGCGCGCCACTCCTTCTGACCCCTGTGGCATGCGTCCTGGCGCGCCGCACCAGTCCGGTGCCTCTGCCCTCGGTACTGTTCCCTGGCTAATTCTGAGCAAGGCCAGCAGCCCACGGTCCCACCCGACCCCCAAATCTCTGCAGGGTCAGGCGAGCCGAGCCGGAACTGCGCCGGGGCAGTGGTGATGGCTGGGCGTCCCTGCAGCTTCAGGGCCAAGGGCAATAGGGGGGCTAGGCCCGCAGACCCGGCAGTCCGCTGACGCAGCGAAGGTCTAGCCGAACCTTGGGGATCATTCTCCCAGTGCCGACCGAAGACCCGGACCTCCGGGCTGGACGCGGAGAAGGCCAGATAAGACGTTACTTAAACATGTTACTTAAACAAGACTGCAGTAAACGTTTCTTTCCAAGTGAGAAAAGTCTTTTTCGTTCTCAGACGGTTTGAAGGTATTTGTGCCAACGTGACCCCCAGGGAGATTTGGAGGAAGCTTTCTATGTCCTAGGAGGCTGAGATCCCACAGAGCCGGTTTACTGTTGAGAGCAGACAGTTTCGAGTAGATAGCGCTGGAAGAAACACGAAGAATCTCTCTTGCTTCTTGGAACGCGATAACCACATTTCTCTCTCTATTCCCCCTCTACTAAAAATCAGAATCCGCACGAAGCAGGCAGTCGCTCTGGTTCAAATGAATTAATTTGCCGAAGACTGCAGCTGCTCTTCTGAAGTCAGATTACAATTTTAAAAGTTTATACACATTGAAATTTCGCTACGGAAAGTTAAACGCACGCTAGCAACAACAACAAAAAAGGAATGCATTCAGAATTCCAATTTAATCCTCAAGTTAAAACTGCTCACTGCACGCCCAAATAGCGCACACAAACAGTACAAATAAATGTCTGTATACAGGAGTCCTTTATTTAGGTGTTTTTTGTTTGAAAAAGTATTGAATTGATTTTCATTCAACAAAGATACAGTCTGTTCGACATGTTTTATTAACAGAACTGGTTTTGGTAAAGAAAGTGTAATTTACATTTTTATCTTTAAAATTTTTGGAGGGGCAGATCCACAAAGATAGCTGTGAAGCCCTCTCCCTGAGAAATCGAAAGTCACATTCTCAGCAAGGACCTGCAATTTACAAAGAACAATACAAATTACTGTATTTGGACTAATTTTCTCCCAGGAAAGAGAAATACTGGTTAATTTAGAAAACTCAATTCCAAATAAAATCTAGGAAAATTTGGCATTCCTACAAACACATGCAAAACAAACTAAATGCTTAAAATAGCATTTCAAAATCTCTTTTTATGAAATTCCTTCAACAAGAAAAAACCTCCCAAGAAATTAGACCAGTTTAATGCCTTCTAGGACTCACCAACGCAGTTGACATTTCTTTGAGAGCACAAAATGTATTCACCCATCTCGTAATTAAAATGCTATTGCTTCTGAATTGCTTTTAAAAAAATGGGTAGCTTTCTAACATTCCTTAACAAAAAACCAAAGCAAAGCACACTTGCGCATACACACACACACCCCCCCACCACCACCATTACCACCAACAAATTAACAAAAACCCATTTAGTGGGTCTCTCTCGATCTCGTAAGTTGACATTGAAAATGAAACTTCTAGAAGAGCAATAAAAAAAAAAAAATAGATTTCCCTGAAATGTTTTGGCTGAGTTCATCACAGGATGATTTTTCATGCTTTAATAGAAAAATCACTTCTGATTGTGGTGTTACATTGTTACATTTTGTTTAGAAAGCCACAATAACTTTCAACTTGTTTGTGGCCTTTGTTACATAATTAAATGACTATTTGAATAGCTGAGAGATAACGGGATAAGCAGTGGCATTTACAACTAAAATTATCTGTTATCTGCCTATATTTATATGTACATTAAGCAATGTTTGTGTAGACAATAACAGTTATGAGAACACTTTACAGTTTTCAAAAAATTGTCACATTTTTCATTTGATAATGCATTTATTGTAATGGCTAGCATGTGGTTCCTTAAAAAAAAAAAGGTACAGACGTTTATGTCTCTATACAGCACTTCCCCTTCAAGGACTTTACCACCGTTTACTGATGATCTTTAATCATAGGGTGGGGTAGAGGGCTTGTATAAATGTATGAGGTGATGAAAGCGTAGGAAGGCAGATACACTCGATTAAAACAAAATCAAACGCTTCCATGGATGCAGCCATCCTTACTTTATCTGACAGTAATTAGCTAAAGTGTCTGGAACGAAAACGTATTATTAGTAGAGCACAGCTCGAGGATTTCAAAGATCTCCTTTTCAGACAAGAGAAGGCAAATGCCCCAGAAGGCGATCGTAACTGGATAGGCGTTGGAACCAGATCCCACTCTCTGATAAGAGACTCCTGCGGAGCGACTGCTGCTATACAACTACCGCTCTGGAGTTCTCCTTTCAGGCCCGAGGCTGTCGCGGGTACAGGCTGCGCGCGCGGGAAAAGGAGGCCACCTAGATGAGACTGGCCCGGCAGGGATCCCTGCGGGGAAGCACGGCCACTGGGCAACCAGACCAAGGGAGTCTGAACAATACTGAGGAGGTAGCTGGAGACAACCCAAACCCCTGCTCTGGGCATAAAACTCAGATCAATCTCTGGGATGCAGTAGCAGATAGAGGTTTTCCGCAGGCTGGAACAGCACTGCGCTGGGCTGGGGATGGGGAAAGGAAGCGGCGATAAGGCCTAGGCCCCACCCGACAGGCCCCTTCGCCTGGGAGTCCTCACAGGCCCTAGTGGCCTACTGAGGAGCAACCTGCCCAGGGTCCTCAAAAGACAACCGCTTAGGCCTGGCGCAAGGTACCTGGCCGGGGGGCGGCTGGGGCGGCGGGATTTGGGGTAAAGGCACCCGTGGGCCTGCTGGTGGGGAGGAGACAGCCCCCTGCGTGAGCTGACAGAGGCGCCCTGGTGGGCTCCGGCGGCAGCAGCGCGTCTGTGGGCGTGTATCAGCGATCAGGCGCTAGAGGGGCGCTTTGTCCTGGTGGCAGTTTTAAGACCTGGATTGTTGGGGCTAGATTTATGTAAGGCCTAGGAGCGAAGCGAGGCTAAGAAGCAAGGGAGTGTAACAAGGAGAAATGCAGGCTTCGGTTGGAAACTGGGGAGAGAGAGATTGTTTCGATAGCCTTTCTCCTTTTCTTTTTCCAGAATCATGAAATCACCTGAGGAGAAGAAAACTGCGGACTAGAAGAGAGCAGAAACATTTCCCCTGAGACAGTTTTGCCCCGGAGGTGGGTTGGGGAAGTGAGGCTGGAGCTCAGCTTCCTGCTTGTATGCTCGGCGGCCACCGTTATGCACACACACTCAAGGTCCGCCACCCCGCAGTGCCTTGCACCCCTCCGCCCCCACCTCGGAATCTTTGCGCCCGAGCGCTCGGGATCCACAGCAAAACCAGGCACATTCCTCCCTCTGCAGACTCACCGCCTGGTTTGTAGACACCGGTCTGCGCCTGGGGCGTCAATAGTTTCAGGATTTAAAACAGAAAGATACCGGGCGCCCCTGTGGCTGAGGAATGGCGGTTCCGGCGCAAGACCCTGCCCACAGAGGGTATCTCCCCACTGCCTGCGGGCAGCCGCCACCTGAGTACTCCCGGGCGCACGTGGCCCGCGCGGCATCCCAGCTCCCCGGGCGGACCCAGGGGCTGCCTCTCCACAACATTTCCGCTCCCTTCTGCAGAGCGCCGCCTCTCCCCCGTCCCGACAGGCTGTCTCTCCCTTCAACCTTGAGCACCCACTCCTGTCGCCGTTGCAGGACCCGCGTGGCAGCCCTCCACCCTCGTACCCACTCCCAGCCGGTGTCTTATGCCGCTCGGAGGCAATGTCCACCGTCCCTGCACCTTTCACCCGCCCCTTCCAAGTGAGACGGGTCTCTTCCAGCTCCGCCATCCTGACGGCCAAAAAAGTGCTTGGAGTAGCTGAGGCCGGATGAGGAGAGCCACGGTTGAGCTGGAACCGTTCCCTAATTTTTAAGGCCAGCGCTGCACACGGGTCTTTCTACGGCCCTCAAAGCAGCGCCCGCTGCTCCTCACTGGGCTAGGCCTGGTAGAGAGCAAATGCCTGTTGTGGAAGAAGATGGTCCCTACCAGCGCGGAGTTTCCAGAATCTGTGGGGAACTGCATAGACTCCCCCAGAAAACAACCAGGGCCTCATGAAGGTACCAGAAGGCGTGTAGGTAGAGAAAAAGTAAAAGCCTGTCGGAGAGGCAAGGCCTACATTCAGGATCCTGATTTCAATAGGCGGAAAAGAAGGCCGCCAAGGCTGGGTCACCTCCCTTGTGAGGACAGATCCTGCTCTCAAAACCGTAAGAAGCCACCCAGTGTGCCACACTCCAGCCACGCACCACCAATGCAGTCAACAAACACTGCTTGACCTCCCATACAGAAAAGCAGTAGTTGACACGTACTGAGCGCTTAACACGCGTGAGGCCCTGCACTAAGATGCTGGCGTGTTTTGCCTCATTCAACCCTAGCAACAACCAAAAACGGTATTACTGCCTTCGTTTTATAGACGAGGAAACAAACTTAGAAATGCCCAAGATCACACACTGACTAGGCCAAGCAAGAGCTGTCGAATACCAAAGTTTAGTCATAACTCTATCTTCCTTTCACATACTGCTCCGTGCACCTGCTGCCAGGGATACAAGGGCAAAAGCAACCCCAGGACCCTGCCCTCGTGGAGCTTACAGTCTAACTGGGGCGACCAGGCAGGCACCTACAGCTATAGAATTAAGTGGGGAGTGATAAGTGACACGCATGTCTTGCTAACACAAGTTGCAAGTTCAGAGGCTGAAAGAGGGGACTTCCGGCTAGACGATCTAGGCGCTCTTCCTCGGAGAATATTTTCCACTTGTGGAGGCTAAGGGTCAGAAACGTGTTCCAAGTGGAGAGAAAGCTTGAGCAACGGCAACAAGTTGAAAACGGACATGTCGCCCACCCATAGACAGATAAAACACTCCGTCTCCTCGTGGATCCAGCGCCCGGTATTTACCCGCCAGGAAGTTTTCCTGCCCCGCGCAGCAGCTGAAAAAAGCACACCCCAGGGGCATCCTTCCCTGGCGTTGTTCGTGGACAGCAAGCCTCCCAGAACTGGCCTAGGTCGGGAAGGTGCAGCCACGCGGGAATCAACGGTTCAGGAACCGGATCAGTGCAGCCTCGCCAGCAGCATCTCGGACTTCAGGACTCTATACTAGTCCTTGTCTATTTCTGGTAGAGCCGCAACATCCCACTCCGCAAGAGCAGGGGGCGTGGCCCACATGAGCCGGAACCTATGGGGAGGGAGGCTGGGGCGCCGGCCCCGCCCTCCGACGTGACGCAAGTCTCCCGGACAGAGGCTTCGGAGCCCCGGCCCCACTCCCTGCAGTGGCTGTAACAAAACCCAGACCCCCAGGTCCCGGCCAATGGAGGCGATTTAGACTGGAGTAGGACCGCGTCTGTCAAAAGCCCGACTCTGCAGCAGCGGCGGAGTCCAGGAGGAGAGCTGGAGCCGCCGCGCTGCCTCCCCGCCCCCGCCGGGATTTATTATTTGGACTAGACAATTAAGTGGCCCTGATGATGTTACCAAGCCCGGTCACCTCCACCCCTTTCTCAGTCAAAGACATTTTGAATCTGGAGCAGCAGCAGCAGCACTTCCATGGTGCGCACTTGCAGGCGGACTTGGAGCACCACTTCCACTCTGCACCCTGCATGCTGGCCGCAGCTGAGGGGACGCAATTTTCTGACGGAGGGGAGGAGGACGAGGAAGAAGAGGGCGATAAATTGTCCTATTTGAACTCACTAGCCGCAGCCGACGGCCACGGGGATTCAGGGTTGTGTCCCCAGGGCTATGTCCACACGGTCCTGCGAGACTCGTGCAGCGGGCCCAAGGAACATGAAGAGGAGCCCGAGGTCGTGAGGGACCGGAGCCAAAGTGAGTAGAGGGGGAAAGAAAACGCACCCGCACACCTGGAGCAATGGCAGAGCGCACACAAACAGCCCACAAACCTTGCCAGAGCGGCTGCCCACCCCTTTACCCTTTGGCTGGGGCCATGCCTCCGCCCTGGTCGCGAGCAGCTCCACAAAGCGCAGGTACCTGCGAGGGAGATGGGGCGGAGAGACAAGGACGAGGTGACCCTGACAACTACTCCTCCCCAAAGGGGGAAATGAGGGAAGGGAAGGTGGTTACTACTGCCCTGATGCTGAGAGGCGACGTGGGCTCAGCGCCTGGGTCCTCATAACTGGCAGTATTTTTGCTCTTCCTCGCCTCCACCCCTCCAAAAGGTTCTTCCCCCAAAAAGGGCAGGAGCCTGGACCTTTTTCGTTTTCCCTCTAGGGTGAGATGAGTTCTCTTAGCCCAGGGCAGCCACCCCTTCTTCTCCAAAAAGACAGCCCAAGCAGCCTGTGTCTCTCTTATCCGCAGGGGGCAGGAACTTTGGTGGATGCCAGTTGGGTGGTTTCCTCCCTTCTCTGCTTGGAACTCAGCGTCCTTGAACCCGTGGCACCCGGTAGAGAGAGAGGAGATGATCGAAAAGTGCATGGGAACACTGTCTATTCCGCGCGACCATAGCTCTCACATCCCTAAGGCGCCGGCCTTTTTTGAAAATCCGTAACGTTTTGCTTTGTGTCCCAGGCTGCGGGCCGAATAGAAAACGCGCCGAACTTGAGTCCGAGATCTTGGCTGCTCACATTGGACGGGAAGTAAATTGATAGGGAGATGGGATAATCAAATAAAGTCCCCAAGGAAGCGTATTTAAGAGGACAGAATCTCAGTCTTTCCCCCAAGAGGCGGTTTGATGTGGCAGAGGCCAAGGCCTATGCTCTCATAGTTCCCAGAGCCTAAAATCGGCATGAAACTGTCTATAACTAGTCAATCAAACTTCATTTTCAGAGGACACACGGACATTGTCATCACATTTGCATGTAGTCTTTTATAAGCCACACACACACGTCCCTGGGCCATGCACAAGCGTTACACTCGGAACAGATTTTCGCTCAACCCATGCCCACCGGCCCACTCATACCAACACGCCTCACACCTTCAGTTATCCTTGGTGGAGTAGAAGGCAAACGAGTTTGCAAATACTGTAGTTATTATGTAGCTGCAAGCCTTCATCCTGAAAATAGTCATTAGCACGTCGAGCCGCACATTTAATACAGAGTAATCTCTTCTCTCGCAGATGCTCAAGATCCAAATAAACACGCACTAACTACCCCTCTCCAGGAAACGCGCCTCCGCCTGCTAAGGGCGTTCTTTCGGTACTGGGGCTGTCGCAGGGTCCCACAGCGCCAGGAGCCACAAACGTTCCCAAAAGTCCAGCCATTTACTACCGCACGCTCTGCTCAGCCGCCAAAAGGGGTCACGGTGCTCCAGGACAGGAGCCGCGGTGCGGCTGGGAACAGCTAAGGACGCTGTTGTTTGCTTCTTCCGCAGAAAGCTGCCAGCTGAAGAAGTCTCTAGAGGCGGCCGGAGACTGCAAGGCAGCGGAGGAGAGCGAGAGGCCGAAGCCACGCAGCCGCCGGAAGCCCCGGGTCCTCTTCTCGCAAGCCCAGGTCTTCGAGCTGGAACGCAGGTTCAAGCAGCAGCGGTACCTGTCGGCACCCGAGCGCGAGCACCTCGCCAGCAGCCTGAAGCTCACGTCCACGCAGGTGAAAATCTGGTTCCAGAATCGCAGGTACAAGTGCAAGAGACAGCGGCAGGACAAGTCTCTGGAGCTGGGCGCACACGCGCCCCCGCCGCCGCCCCGCCGCGTGGCGGTCCCGGTGCTGGTGCGGGACGGCAAGCCGTGCGTCACGCCCAGCGCGCAGGCCTACGGCGCGCCCTACAGCGTGGGCGCCAGCGCCTACTCCTACAACAGCTTCCCCGCCTATGGCTATGGGAACTCGGCCGCGGCCGCCGCCGCAGCCGCTGCCGCCGCCGCGGCCGCCGCGGCCTACAGCGGCAGCTATGGCTGTGCGTACCCGGCGGGCGGAGGCGGCGGCGGCGGCGGGACCTCCGCGGCGACCACTGCCATGCAGCCCGCCTGCAGCGCGGCCGGAGGCGGTCCCTTTGTGAACGTGAGCAACCTAGGAGGCTTCGGCAGCGGCGGCGGCGCACAGCCGTTGCACCAGGGTGCTGCAGCCGGGGCCGCGTGCGCTCAGGGCACCTTGCAGGGCATCCGGGCCTGGTAGGGACGGGGCGAGTCACGCGGCAGGCACCCCAGCGAAGCCTGGCGCCGCGGGACTGAAGCTCGAGAAGGGCCTGACCTAAAGGTCAGGTCCCCTCGTTAAAAATATATATATATACGTCTCGCTCCTCCGGGCTTCGGATCGCAGCTCACTCGAGGCCTGGGGAAGGGGGCTCAGGGGCAAGGAGGATGACTGGGTCCGGTCGCCAGGACTGTCTCTGAGGCAGAAACGCCGGCTGGGCGCCGGCGGGGACGATGGCCCCGACCCTGGCAGCGAGGGGAGTGCAGGCGGCTAGGACCCTGGCCGCGCTTGGTTCTTCCAAAGTGAGAAGGGCTTCTCTCCCTCTGCCTTTCCGCGGCCTCCGCGAAGCATTGGCGGGGAGCCCAAGGACATAACAAATTAAAAGCATGAAGGAGAGAAAAATGGGAGTCGTGGCTTGAGAAATTCCAGGCCCTACCGATTCTCTGCCCCCTTTGCGGGCCTGGAGCGCCATAGCACAGTCGATTTCGTTTCCCAGCTGTCTCCCCTCCGCAGCAGATACCTCTGTCCAGATCTCCGGATTGTCAGGGGACGCAGGATTCTTCGAGGAAGACCAGCCGAATGAGATCAAAAGTTGGGGGTGGGGGGAGGCTGAACAAACTCGAAACCTGGTGGCCCACCGGAGGTGTTACCGGGTTTCCTTTCTGTTTCGTATTCTGTATTCAGCACATGTTATCTATCTATCTATATAACTATAACCACACGCCGTGTACACACCCGCTGCCACACACTACAGGAGTCAATAAACAAGGTGCAATATTTTCAGATCATTGGCCGGCTACAGAATTTGTTTAGCCCCCAAGAGTGGAGAGGAATCCTTTAAATAGGGCCAGAAAGGGAGGAAAAGGTGCGAGGGGGAAAGCCATCCTCCGTGGGCGATTGCAGGCCTGGTCTCCCATGAGCCAGGCCCCAGGCTGTAAGTCTGGTCTCTTCATGGCTTTGTTCATTAATTTCTGTTTACTTTTGCGGGCTGGACAGGTCGAAGGCTCAGGGCCATTTGAAGTCCCTGGCTTTGCAGTTGCCCCTAAGTTTTACCCAGATGCTTGGACTAGCTGTATAGACCTGCGTTCGGTCAAGTCTTGTAATCTGCCCCACCTCGAGGGTCGCCAGGGAAAAGGAAGCCTCGCCCCCAGGCCCAGCTGTTGGCGGCGCGAAAGCAGCCTCTTCCCCGGCTGCAGCCAGGGCTACCAACGCGCCTGGGGGTGCTGCGCTGCGCCCCACCGCGGCCGAGCTCTCCCCCTTGGCCGCCCTCCCTTCTCCCCCGGCGGCCCCGGCTTTATGCGGCTCCTTGTCACTTGGGGAGAATGCCTGTGCGAGGCCTGTGCTGCCACACGGCCGATTGTGAGCGTGCCAAGGCGGGTGAATGGGGAGGCCTCAGAGCGCCGCGCCATTGTGGGGCCGGGCCTCGCTGAAAGGCGGCTCCGGGCCGGGAAGGTGCGGAAAGAATAGCTTTTTATTGGAGTCCCGAACAAAAGGTGTGGTAGGAAGGCGAGGTCCCCTGCGCGAACAAAAACCCCAGCGCGTCGGATTGACGTCCCCCCCGAGCTCCCCATTGCTTCTCAGAGCGGGGGCTTTGTGCAACAGTCTGCTCAACAGAGGGACGGAGAAATGTGCGGGGGTTTTGTTCCCCACTTTTTGTGAGCTGGGGGAGGGGGCGGCCAGAGGGACGGGGGCTGGGCGGGCAGCAGGGAGGGGAGCGCTGATTAGGCCGGGCCGGCCGGGGCGCTGAGACGTTCAGCGGGAGTCGGCGGCCTGAATGCTGGGTCATTATTGCTACAAGTTTAGCAATTTCACCCTTACAGGAGGGGGTGGGGCTGCTAGGCTGTGGCGGGGCCGACCGGCTGAGGAGCTGGAGAGACGCGAGGAGGAGGAGGAAAAAGAAGGAGGGGAGGGAGGGAGGCAGGCAGGCAGGCAGGCAAGGGAGCCCTCCGAAGCCCTCTGACCGCCCAGGATGCGACTTGGACACATCCGAAAGGGCCTAGCGGGAGGCTAGAGAAGCGGCACTTGGGGGACGAAGACCTTCCCTCCCCTCGCCTCTTAGGCGGCAGAAAGACCCCGGAGCCGAGCATGAGCCAGTGCACTAGACTGCAGGTCCCGCAGCAACTCGCAGCCGCGTCCCTCCTCTTTCACGCCACCCCCAAACTGGGACACAGCCTCCCACCACCGTGATGCCCCAATCCCCTTCCCTACCGTGATCCCTCTTCTGGAGCCATTACCTTCCCATGGATTGCTTAGGCAAAGGGCTGGAGAGGGAATTCTTGGCTCCTTACTTGCTTCTCACAGCCTGCAGCTGCAGACTCATTCATTCATTCATTCATTTATCCATTCAACTAGGTATACTGAGCACCTACTATGTATTCACTTGTACTGTTGAGTTGCTGGGAACGGTGAAAAAAAAGTGTCCCTAGACTGGTGGATTTTATTTTCAGGTGTGCAGGTGTGGGTGGTGGGAGGGTGAGACAATAAACAAATGCAAAAACAGTAGATGAATTCTAAAAAGGAAATAGAACCAAACGCTGGGAGTGGAGGTCTTTTCAAGTAGGCGGTGGGGAAAGCCTGTTAAGATTACATTTAAGTCAATGCCTGAATGACAAAAGGATGTCATTCCAATAGTGCTTTGCTATCTCAGCCACCATGTCTCTGCACATGCCCTCCTGTCCAGCTGGAATGCCCTTCCACCCCCATTTTTCTGGTGAACTTTTGCCTCTCCTTCAAGGCCAAGCTTCCTTCCTGAACCACCTAAGTGGAGGTAATCACTCTCACATTTGTGCCATCAGAGTCTTAGGTACTTTCCAATATCATAACATGGTGTCAGGCAAAGATTTATTTGTCTCTCTCCCTCCGCAGGAGAGATGTGGAGGGCCAGGATGGCATCTTTTCCCTCTGGGACAAGTACCACAGTAGGAGCTCATGGGGCCAGGAGGGCTGTGAGATGCCCTCTGGGCCCCTTCAGCACCTCTTCCCTGGTTCCTGCTGCCTGAATTGCCCAGGTGCTGTTGAGCTGTGGCCTTGGCTGCTGGCCTGCAGGGAAAAGTGGAACTGGAATCTTGGCTTCTCTGGGCCTAGTCAGGACACTTGGCAACCCATTTCCAACCCAGCAGAAGGTCCCACCTCTTCTATACCCTGTGATACTGCCTAAGGACATCCCTCCCCACAATGTTGCACCTCATCCTACAGCTCAATACCTAGGATAGAAGGCTAAGATCTTGGTAAAGACCTTGACCCCAGGACACAAAGTTTGGGGCCTGGGGAAAACTAGGATGTGTAAGAAACCCAGGACCCGCATCTGGGACCCAATTTGACTTCCCCTACATTCACTAGGTGCAGGGAATGGAAAGTCAGCAAGACCTGGGCCAGCACCCTGTGAAAGCTCACTCCCCAGGTGGCATTTCAGCACCTTCACTCTAGGAACTGAAGTCTCTAGGAATAGCTGCGCTTGCTCCACTGGGGGTTTCCTAAGTAAGCAACTACTTTGCCTCCAATCCAGTCCCCTATCCTGCTGGGCCTTGGCCTGTCAGTGCTCCCAGCACCACACACCCACTTTCCTTCCTGGGCTTCCTCTTGCCTTGTGTTGGTCTTCCTTCACTCTGCATTCCCTCTTGTTCTGGAAAAGTGACTTGTGATCCTCACAGAGGAAACAGAACTGGTTCTGTGGATTGGCTTCCGCAAGTTTGCGTGTCCTGAGATACTTGAAGCCAGCCTAGACCAGCCTGCTCTCTATCCTGCCCCGGAGCCTGCAGTCTCCAGGTATAAATAGCTCCCATCATTTCATTGGAGGATTTCCCTACTGCTCATTGCTGGGATTCCTCCATAGGAGGTTGAAAATCCTTGGCCAACGCAGCTACCTCTTCCTTGGGCTCCCTCTCCAGGGGAAAAGTTCCCCCTGACAGGATGAACTGCTGCTTCATTAAATTGTCCTGTGAGCCAGGAGGAATCAAAATCTACCCATTAGACTTGGAACAGGCCAAGTAAGTTGTTCCTCTGGGCTGTGGTTTTTGAGATCTATGGTGGAGAGAAGGGTAAACCATATGATACCAGAGGTCACTTCAGGTTCAACCCTCTTGGGTTCCCTTGGATGAGTGTGTAACCCCTCCCCACCCACTAAGCTCAGGGTGGGTTGGCACCACTGGTGGAAGAAGTGGGATAGGTTTTAGATGGCTAAAACCTATTTTCCTGTAGAGCCTGATCTTGAGGAGTTAAGAGGATGAACTCTGAAGTCAGACTGAGTCCATTCTATTCTCAGCAGCACCACAACCAGCAGTGGAAACCTTGAGTAAATTAGAAGTGCCCTGAACCTCAGTTTCTTCCTCTATAAAATGGGTATACTTGTAGCACCTTTTTTTGTTGTTGTTCCTACAGTAAAACATGCAAATAGTTAAGTATACAACTCAGTGAATGTTTATATAGTAAATCTTCATGTATCAATCTTTTTGGCTTTGGAAGTTAAATAAGATGATCAAGCTCAATACCTAGGATATTGCGTTGATGTTCCAGGAAGATGTCTAGGACGCTATTCCGCCCTCGAGGCACTCGCAGTTCCCCGGGGTGAGGGAGTGGGGACAGGGGCGGGGAGGCGGGGACCTGGACAGCACAAGGACCGAAAACCCCAGCTCTGCGGGCGCGCGTCACCACGGAGATCTGGCAGAGCCACTGCGGGTAAACCTGGGACAGGTGGCGCCCGGCAGGGTCTGCAGGGCTTTGACTTCGGCTGCATCTGGGACATTCGACAGAAGGGGAAGGTGAAAGGACGTTTCCTGGCGGAGGCACGAGTCCTCTCTAGCCCACAGCTGCAGGAAGGAAAGGGTAAGGAGGGGAAACCCGGCGCCTCTCCGCGGGGCTTCTCTCGGGCCCGCGGGCACCGCCCGGGTGACTTGGGGCCGCGCGTCTGCCAGGGTGGGGCCGGGTGGGCGGGCGCTTTCCTGGAGACTGGCACGTGCGGGAGACCGGGAGGTCCAAGGCCCCAGTCGCAGCCGCGCAGTTCCTCGCTTTCTGGTTCAGGACGCCAGTGGGGACTTCCCGGGCACCTCCTCCCAACTCCAGGGGCCCGAGCCCTGGAAGGACTGTGATTTGTCCGCGACTGGAGAGAGTTCAGTGCTCAGTCTCAGTCTGGCTGCGCTCTAGAGGAAAGAATCCTTTCGAACTGCCAGGGGCAGCGCAGGTGCCACGGGGCGGGGCGCCCGGGGGCCGACCGCTGCTTCCCAGGCGGGCCCGGGCGGTCAGAGCCAGCTGGGCCGGGAGTGCCCCGGCGAGCCCCGGGAGAGCCTAGCCGACTCTGCGGGTGAGAGCCCAAACTGCAAGAGCCAGCAGTCCTGAAGGTCGCGGAGGTAGGACGTCCTGGGTGGGACTTAGGGGACATGGGGAGGTCTCTGCAGGGAGTCCTGGGGAGGCGTCAGGGGGAGGGGGCACTGATCTCTAAAGCACGTTAGCTTTGTTGAAAATAAGCCCCCACCTCACTCCACCTAGATTGTAAGGAACAGATTAATAACAGCTGAGGTTTTCAAAAGGGGTCATTAGTAAACTTCTTATTGGAATGGGAGATACATCCAGAAAACCCCAAGCTTCGGCTTGCTCTATCTTTATAAACGGAACCCTTCTATGCTACCAACACCCACATGAAGAAACAGAACATTATCAGTCCCTGGAAAGTACCCCATCTCCCTTCTTGTCACTACTACCTGGAGCCACTAAGGGTAACCACTGTCCTGGCTTCTAACAGCACAGGTTAGTTTTGCCTGTTTGGGAACATTATCTAAATGGAATCATATAGATTGCACTCTTGTGCACCCGCTTCATTCGTTCGTGAGATTTATCCATATGGCTGCGTGTAGTTGTAGGTCGCTCATTTCACTTATTTTAGAGTGTTCCACGGTGTGAAAATACACACTCAATGTATCCATTCTGCTGTTTATAGGTATTTGGATTGTTTCTAGTTTTAGGCTGTTGTGAATAGCACCACTACGATATGCTAGAACAGTGTCCAATAGAACTTCCTGCGATGATAATGTTCTATATCCGTGCCATCCAACATGGTAGCCATTAGTGACGTGTGACTTTTGAGCACTTGAAATGTGACAGGTGTGACTGGGGAAATGAATTTTTAATTTTCTAAAATTGTAATTAATTTAAATGTAAGTAGCTAATATGGCTAGGGCTACTCTATTGGACAGCACAGTTCTAGCTTGTCTTTTGGTGACCATAATACAAATTTCTATTCAGTATATGCCTAGGAGTG